ATTTATAGTCCACCTTTCTCCACAATAGGGATTCAAAGCACCTTACTTCATTCTCCTCTCCTTCATTTTATCAGAACGATCCTTGAGTAGGGACAGACTAGGAGTGAAAAACCCTGGGGAAAGACCCCTCCCCACAGCTTTCCCTGGCCTCACCCCCAAAGGAGGAAGGGAGAGTGGAAAAGGCATTCTGCCTGACCCTGACCCTCCATCCCCAAAAGGGGATGGAAGAAGAGAGGAAGAGGCAGCCTGCTTATCTAATTGGCTGGATGCGACACTGGATTGATACTTTCATTGAGCTATCCACTACAGTTCCAAGGTTTTTTCCTTCTCAGTCTCAGAAAGTTCAAAAAAAAAGGTAAAGGTTCCCTTGCTCGAAAGCCAGTCGAGTCCAACTCTAGGGTTGCGGTGCTCATCTCCGTTTCAAAGCCGAAGAGCCAGCGCTGTCCGAAGACGTTTCCGTGGTCATGCGGCCAGCATGACTAAACACCAAGGCGCACGGAACGCTGTACCTATTAGCATATACTTAAAGCTGGGATTTTCCCCTCTGAGTTGTACCACCTTAAAATTACCTACACTGAACTTCATTTGCCACATTGTTGCCTGCTCACCCAATTTGTGGAGATCCTCCTGGAGAACCTCACAGTCAGCCTTCATTTTCACCATCCTGAATAATTTTGTGCCATCTGCAAACTTAGCCACTACACTGCTTACCCACAAAACTAGATCATTTACGAACAAACTAAATAATATTGGCATCAATATCAATACTCATTAGGAACCCCTGCTTTTGGGGGGGTGTTTCCCCATCACCAACCAGCACGCCAGCGGAGGGAAATCCCACCCCCAAATGATGCTTTCCTGGCCACTTCCATTAACATTGCAAGTGCCTGTCCCGATGTGCTGATGTCACCCACAAGTGATGTAGGCACATCAGGGATGTCTGGGGGCAATGCTCTGGTACTGGGGAAAACTCTATAGTACATTTGGCCAAATTTACCATAGAGCTTGCCGAAATACCAGAGTGGTTCCCCCAGAGATCCCTGACATGCCTATGTCACTTCCGAGTGATGTCAGCACATTGGGGCAGGAATTTCTGGTTTTACTGGAAGTGGCCCAGAACCACTTCCTGTCTCCTGGAAGTGGGCCGGGAGCCCCCCACCAGCCAGGTGGAGGAGGAGAAGGAGGAGATTGGATTTATACCCCGCCCTTCGCTACCCAAAGGTGTCTCAGAGCGGCTTACAAACTCCTTTCCCTTCCCCTCCCCACAACAGACACCCTGTGAGGTAGGTGGGGCTGAGAGAACTCTTGACAGAAACTGCACCTGGCAACCCTAATCCTCATGGGACTCCAATGCTTACTTCTCTGCAATATCAGAACTGTCCATTTATTCCTGCTCTTTCCCCCCTGTCATTTAACCTTTCCCTCATATTGTTTATCCAAGTATTAATCCATACCAGGACCTGTCATCTTATCTCATCACTGCTAAATTTACTCAGGAGTCTTTGGTGAGGTACCTTGTCAACAGCCTTTTGAAAGTCTAAGTATATAATGTCAACCGAGTCAACATTATCTACATGTTTGTTCACTTTCTCAAAGAATTCCAAAAAGTTGGTGAGGCAGGACTTCCTTTTGCAAAAGCCATGCTGATTTGCCCTCAGCAGACTTTGTTCCTCTAGATGTAAAAATAATAATAATTACAGTTTCTTCTAACTTACTTGGGACAGACATTAGCCTTCCTGACCTGTATTTGCTTGGTTTCCTCTCAGAATCCTTTTCAAAAACTGGTGTAATATTTGCTACTCTCCAGTCTTCTGGTACAGTGGCTAAATTTAGTGACAAATTACATATACTGGTTAGTAGATAAATAAATGCCCTGACCTGGATAGCCCAGGCTAGCCCTATCTCATCAGATCTTGGAAGCTAAGCAGAGTTGACCCTGACTAGTATTTCAGTGGGAGACCACCAAGGAAGTCCATGGTTGCTATGCAGAGGCAGGCAATGGCAAACTACTTCAGTTAGTCTCTTGCCTAGAAAACCCTATAGGGTTGCCATAAATCGGCTGCAACTTGACAGCACTTTCTGCCACCACATTAACAATCTCACATTTGAGTTTTCTAAGAACCCTCAGGTGTCTGCCATCAGGACTTGGCCACTTATTTTCCCCAACAGGTCTGAGAAGTTGGGTTAGAACAGATAAAAGGAAGTACTTCTTCACCCAAAGAGTGATTAACACATGAAATTCACTGCCACAGGAGGTGGTGGCGGCTACAAGCATGGACGGCTTCAAGAGGGAATTAGATAAACATATGGAGCAGAGGTCCATCAGTGGCTATTAGCCACAAGGTATAGATAGGAACTCTCAGTCTGGTGCAAGTGATGCTCTGTATTCTTGGTGCTGGGGGGGGGCAACAGTGGGAGGGCTCCTAGTGTCCTGACCCCACTGCTGGACCTCCTGATGGCACCTGGTATTTTTGGCCACTGTGTGACAGAGTGTTGAACTGGATGGGCCATTGGCCTGATCCAACATTTGCTTCTCTTATGTTCTTATGTCTACAATGTCATCTCTCATCACTTCAATTTGACTCTTTTCATCAGACTCCCTTCCTGAAAAAAAGTGGTTCTGCCTTGGGTATAAGGTCACCAGGCAAAAGTCGTTCTGCTGGCAACCCCCATTGCGTGCTGCCACTCTGTCAGCCAGTAGGAGAAAAATAAGTTTTAAAAGTGCCATTGTTTGACTATTTTCATCAGACTCCCTTCCTGAAAAAAGTGGTTCTGCCTTGGGTATAAGGACACCAGGCAGACGTTCTGCTGGCAACCTCCATTGCCTGCTGCCACTCTGTCAGCCAGTAGGAGAAAAATAAGTTTTAAAAGTGCCATTGGCATGACAGCAATATGTCACTTCCGGGGAAACCCAGAAGTAATGTTACTCTACTCTATAAATCACCAGAAACAATAGAGTTTCTGGTGATTCCTAGAGTGAGGTGATGTCACTTCCAGTTTTTCTGTGGAAGTGATATAATGCAATCACATTAATGGTGCCTCTCATGTCCTCACTCCACCCAGACTCCCATTAGTTGCCAGCCAGTGGCAACCTGACCTGGGTACAGCGAACACAGATGCAAATAATTCTTTTAGCTTCTCTGTCATCTTCCAGTCTTCCTTTAGCAATCGTTTTTTTGGTCATTGATCATCCAAATGCCAACTGCTTCTGTGGGTGGTTTCCTGCCTTGGATATATTTAAAGAAATGCTAAATGTTTGCCTCGATGCTTTTAGCAATCTGCTCCTTGAATCCTATTTTTTTTGCATGTCTAATAATTAACTTACACTTCCTTTGCCAGAACTTGTGTTCCCTTCTGTACTTTTCATCAGGGCAGACCTTCCACTTTTTAAAAGACGGCATTTTGCCTTTTATGGCTTCCTTGAATTTGGTCATTAAGCATGCAGGGATCCCTCTAAACTTGGCAGTACCTTTCCTTACCTGGGGAATTCATTCTACCTGGGCTTCTATTAGTGTGGTTTTAAATATGTTCCAAGCATCCTCTAGAGATCTGACTATCTTGTGTTCCCCTTTCAACTTTCTTCTAACTAGTCCCCTCATTTTTATAAAGTTCCCCATTTTGAAATCAAATGCTACTGTTTTGGACTTTAGGGGTAATTTTACACTGACATTTCCCCTCCTTATACCTAATTTTACAAACCTGTATCACTACCCCCTCCTTTAACCATCTTTTTTTTCCTAAAATGAAGAGTCTTAGACTCTTTAGCCTTTTCTCGCAGGAAAGCTGTTCCATCTCCTTAAGCATCTTAGTGGATTTATGACTTTTTTCCATTTTATAGCCATTATTTGAGGCCCTTTTTGATGTGCTCCCACTGTCAGATTTATAGTAGGTGGCAACAGAAGACAGGGCCTTTTCACAAAAATCAGGAATGTCCTCTATAAGGAGATTCATCTGGCTCTTACCTTCTTGGCATTTTGAAGTCATGTTAAGACTTTAGTTGCTGTAGATTTTCCGGGATGTGGCCGTGCAATCTACAGCAACTAATGAACTCCGGCTGTGAAAGCCTTCGACAACATGTTAAGACTGTTTTATATTTCAACAACATGCCACATGGACTAAAAGGTTGGGTGTGTTTTTTTTTTACAATGACTGAATTGCTGCCTTTTAATTGGCTTCTGTACAGCTCCATTTTATTGATAGTGCTTATACTGCATGATTTGAGATAGTTTGTTTGCTGTCCTAAAAAAGTGGGATATAAATATTTCTAATGAACAAACACGTAGTAGAAAGGAGGGGAACAAAATGTAGTTTAGTGGGATCTAAGAGGGGTATAAAAGTGGAATTTAAATATTTCAAATAAATAAATGCCTGGAAGAAATGAGGGAAACAAAAATGCAAGTTTAATCTCTTGCCATCCTTTGCTGGTAAAGGCTAGATACCAGAAGGTGGAACCCTTGTATGCTGGTTCTCAGTATTTCCTTTCAGGAGAATGGAGAGCCTTGAAGCCAGCCAAGGAGTCAAAAAGAAAGTAGAATCTCTGTTTTAAAGTGACTACTAACTGAAACCTCCTGTGGGAGGGCTCCTAGTGTCCTGGCCCGACTGCTGGACCTCCTGATGGCACCTGGTATTTTTGACCACTGTGTGACAGAGTGTTGGACTGGATGGGCCATTGGCCTGATCCAACATTGGCTTCTCTTATGTACTTATGTTTAGCAAATGTATAAGAAAGGTGTTGGTACAACTAGCTAATCGGCATTAAATTAAAATTCACAATGTATCTGAATGGAACACAGTCGATTACTTAATTATTTCACTCACTGCTTTTACATCATCCAGAGAAAGTCCAAGATATTTTGATGCTTGAGACAGAAAATAGTGCACATTTCAACCCCCACCCCTAAGCAGCAAGCACAGGGGGGGAAATACATTTCTTCAGCATCTTTGTCTTGTTTACTGCATTCCCTAGATTTTCTAGATAGGACACAAAAGCACATGCTTACCAGGACTGTCCCAAGCTACAAATATGGAGTATGCATCTATCACAGTGACGTTATATGGGACAGGAATTTCCTCTGGTGTTGCTACTGGGGTTTGGACAACATACTTTTCACTAGCATTGCTACCACCCCATGTGCTGGCTTCTAGCTGGTAAACATATCTGTAAAAATACAAGAAAAGGGATAGAAAAACAGAAACAAATCAGTATTCAGATGCTTTAGTCATTTGGCATATATTTATTTTACATTTCAGATTTTATTTAGGACAGAAACCCCTTATAATTCATTATGGTCCTGATCACACGCAGAAGTAGCCACACGAGAGGCACAACTGCTGGGTGGATTTTAAGGGCACAATTACACAGGAATATCTGGCAAGCGCCCCGCACTCGTCGGCAACCCGTCTCACTCTGCCGAAGACATGGAGTTAAAAAATACCTGGGAAAGGGCAGTATCAAACGAGTTGCAACAGGCCGCAGATGGAGTTTCCCATGTGATCACTCCAGCGCGCTCCAATTGTGTCACTGATCCCTCGATAAAGCGCGCCAGAAACACACGGCAAAGAAAAAAACCCGTTTCATCCACCACTGCATCAGATCACACAGTGGCGGATCCAATTACTGCGGTGCAAATAGGCCCCCTTCCCCCCCCCCACGTTTTCTGGCATGTGTGACTGGGACCTATGTTTGTCAGATACCAATAAAATGTTGCTTTCTACATACGTGAGTATTTGCACTATTGTAGTCATTGCATACAGAGTGACAAAAGTTTTTAAAAAGTATGTAAATATAATTAGAAATCAGATTTAACATAATGTTACAAGCCTGCTGTCTGATTACTGTGAATGGTTCTATCACTATAGCTTTGTCTAGGTGACACCTGATGACTCAGGGCCTTTGACAAAAGGGTATTAATGTTCTTTAATGATGGAGGCTCTCTCCTCAGTGGAAACTATTGTTAAGTGATATCTCCTGATAGCTGTATCTTCTGAAATGAGATACTCATCTGAGCTTGGAGAAGGAAGCACTGCTCCAGGTGAGGCTACGGACTATGTAGTAGTGTGCATGCATACCCTATTCTTCCTCCAAGGAGCTCAAAGGAAGTTTCTCCTGATATTTAGCTCAGAGGTCCCCAACATGGTGGTTTTAGAAAGTGTGAAGGGTCAAGCGGGGGTCCTACCCAATAGTGCTTCTCATTGGTCATTGAAGACGTAGAATCATAGCGGTGGAAGGGAACTGCAGGGTCATCTAGTCCAACCCCCTGCACAATGCAGGGAATTCACAAATACTCCCCCCATGTGTCCAGTAACCCCTGTTTCATGCCCAGAAGATAACAAAAAACCCTCCAGGATCCCTCGTCAAGCTGGCCTGGAGAAAATTGCTTCATGACCCCAAAGTGGCAATTGGCATTTCCCTGGGCATGTAAGAAAGGGCCACGGGAACTAAGCACTGATGCAACTCTTCCTGCCCTTCCTAAGTCCTGCTTAAGTCCACAGAATCAGCACTGCTGTCAGATGGTCATCTAGCCTCTTCTTAAAAACCTCCAAAGAAGGAGGTTCTTCCTAATATTTAGTCAAAACCAATTTTGATTTAATTTCAACCTGAAGTTCTTCCTAATATTTAGCCAAAACCAATGTTGGTTTAATTTCAACCTGCTGGTTCTGGTCCAACCTTCTGTGGCAACAGAAAACAACTCCACACATCTATATGACAGCCCTTCAAGTACTTAAAGATGGCTGTCACATCACCTCTCAGCTGTCTCCTCTCCAGGCTAAACATACCCAGTTCCTTTAACCTTTCCTCATAGGACTTAGTCTCCAGACCCCTCAGCATCTTTTTTGCCCTCCTCTGGACACCTTCTTAAACTGTGGCATCCAAAATGGAACACAATACTCTAGGTGAGGTCTACCCAGAGCAGAGCAAAGCGATACCATCACTTTGGATGATCCGGACACTACACTTCTATTGACACAGCTCAAAAACACATTTGCCCTTTTAGCTACTGCATCCCACTGCTGACCCATGTTCAGTGTATGGTCCACTAAGACCACTAGATCCTTTTTGCACATACTACTGCCAAGACAAGTCTGTCCCATCCTACAATTATGCATTTGATTTTTCCTACCTAAATGCAGAACTTTACATTTATCTCCACTGAAATTCATTTTGTTTTAGCCCAGTTTTCCAGCCTGCCAAGATCATCATGTATCCTGACTCTGTCTTCTACCATATTTGCTATCCCTCCCAATTTAGTATCATCTGCAAATGTAATAAGCATTCCCTCTGTTCCTTCATCCCAATAATTTATAAAGATGTTGAACATAACAGGTCCCAGAAAAGATCTCTGAGGCACTCCACTTGTCACTTCTCTCCAAGAGGATGAGGAACCATTAACAAGCACTCTTTGGGTGCGATTTGTCAACCAGTTACAGATCCACTTAACAGTAATAGGAACCAAACCACATTTTACCAACTTGTTAACAAAAATATTATGTAGAACCTTATCAAAACCCTTATTGAAATCAAGATAACTATGTCTACAGCTTTCCCCTGATCCAACAAGGTAGTAAATTTCTTGGAAAAAAAGATAAAGTTCGTCTGACCTGACTTGTTCTTGAGAAACCCATGCTGGTTCTTAGTAATCACAGCTGTCCTTTCTAAGTGCTCAAGGACTGACTGATGATAGGTTCTAAAACTTTTTCAAGTATAAGCATCAAGCTGATGGGTCAGTAGTTACCCAGTTTCTCCTTGTCCCCTTCTTAAAGATGAAGACAACATTTGCCCACTTCCAATCTTCTGGCACCTCACCTATTCTCCAAAAATTCTCAGAAATAATAGAGAGTTGTTCTGAGTTTCCTAATTCCCTGCTGATTCTGGACAGAGAAGCAGTGTGAGCACATATTACTGGACTGAGGAGGAGGGACTCGGTGCACAGAATTACATTATGATCCTGAATGTCAGGGTCCATTTAGAAGTATCCAGTCATGGGGCCAAGAGCAGTGGCCAGTTTCAATTTACTTTTTGGAAGATCTATATATATATTACAATACATTAAATACTCTCTTAATCTTATCACACAACTGTGACATTTTACCTGCTGTTTGGTTGCAGGTCAGAATCAGTAAAATTTAGACTTCCTTTGTCTCCCTTGAAAATCTCTTCTCCATTCCGAAATAATCGATATTGGGAAATAATCCCATTTGTTTTTTCTGGTTCATCCCAATACAATTCCACTATTGTAGAACTAACTATGATGTGACGTGGTTGTGACCATACTCCTATAATGACATAAACACTACAGCTTTAACAATAATATATTCATGTATTTACAGTATTTAGTCATCTAGCAGTCTATCACAGAAGCCTCTACATTAATACATAATACAAAAGAATTCAAATTCAGTTTTATCTCAGACTCTCCTTGACAGCAAATAAACATTTAGAGTTGAATGTACTAACTGGAAATTCCAACTTTAAGTCATATCACAATGCACTGTACTAGTGACTTGAGCCAACTTGACGGTGTCACCTTGGGAAAGCATGCACTAGCATCAGCAGTAGATTAAATAACAGACCAATGGAAGACCTGCAAGCTGCAGAAGGGGCTACAATGCTTTTACCAAACGGTGTCAAGTTGGTGATGTTCTGCCTATGTGATAACCTAGGGCTATTTTGGGGCCGGAATGCCCTGGAATGACATTCTGGCTGGCTTCTGGAGCCTAGGGGGCAGGCACATGCAGCTCCATTGACTAAAATGGGACTTACTTTCAAGTAGACCCACTTAGGATTCCCTTTTTTAGATATTTATGCCCCTTTCCCCCTCCAATAGGAACCCAAAGCAACATACCGTATAATTATCCTTTCCATCCATTTTATCCTCACAACAACTCTGTTAGGTGGGTTGGAATGAGAGAAGGACTGACACAAGATCACCCTTTGAGCTTCCATGGAAGAGTGACGATTCAAACCTGGGTCTCACAGATCCTGTTTACAAAGCATTGGTACTGCTATATTGCCAGTGATCCCAGCAAGATGCCAGTGGGTGCCATGGTATCCACTGATATGTATCTTGGAGTCTAGTTTCTCCCCCCCACACACATATCTCTAGCTTAAAGCAAAGAGCCAAAGCTGCCTTTCTTCTATTTTACTGATGTAGCAAGATCCCAGGAAACAAAGAACCAAAGCTGCCTTTCTTCCCTTTTACTGATGTAGCAAGATCCCAGGAAACATCACCTTTGTATCTGCAGGCAGCACCCCTTTGTAAAGAGCAGCTCCCCTATCATAGGAAGATATTTGGCTTGGAACCTCCTAACATTTTGCAGAACCAAGCCCTCATGTGGTGGCACCCAGCCCCCCCATGGCAGCCATTTTGTAGTGGTGCTCAGTACCTTGACTCAAAATTCCAGATGTTTCCTCAGGTTCAACAGGGTTGGAGAGTAGTGGAACAGAGCATTGGACTTGGACTGGGGAGAGCAGGTTCAAATCCCCATTCAGCCAGTAATCGGTGGGTGATTTTATGCAACTGCTGCTTAACTGATGCAATAATAAAATACTTTCAGGCCAAACATATAATTGTGTTATTGATGCTTTAAATAATTGACATTATGGGGTCTTGTAGTTCAAAAACTGAGAATCCATTGCTTAAACTCAAAACATGATCTTCAAGGAAATCAGAATCATAGGACACAGATACAAAGGGTTTATTTTGAACCCTGTTGTCACTACTTATCAGTAGAATGACCTGAGGAAATATTAACATGTTGATTTTGAGTCTGGTGTTCATAGTGAGAGCTGTAAGTGTGCAACTGGCTGTATTAGAGCATTTGTACCTGGCCATTGATGGTCATATGCGAAGATTCGGCTACATAAGCAAAAAAGGAGAAACAACATGTACTGCAGATGCATATCAAGGAGTCTCTTTAATCTTCCAGTCTGTAAATAACTTCTGTGGTCTGCAGTAAAAATATATGATCATCTGTGTGCAGTCTTGTCCATTTAGAGAAGTAGCTGCATATTGCAACACATGTCTGTCCTGAAAGCAGAGGTACTGGAACTCTCAAGAGGGGAATTGTGGTGTATTCGAAAAGGCTTACATGAATCGCTGCATTAACTCTCCATGATAAGCTCGAGCCAGAGGAAGGCTCCTCTGAGCCAACTTGCTATTGGTCGCTCCACAACAGCGACCAATCAGAACTATACCAATTCCCTGCGAGGGAAGGACTTTCATTGGACGTTATCCGCACAACCTCATTGGTTGTTATTGTAAAAAGGCGTGGCTACTTTAGCTCGGGAATGTTTAAAAGGAGCCTAACTCCCAATGTTAAGTTGTTCTGGTTATGACTTCTTTCAAGCACTTGTTCGTACCTACAATAAAGCTTTGTTGAAATCACTCTCCAGTTCTTTGTTAGCGGCGATCTAACAGGAATGACATTTTCAGTCTGTATACTGAAAATTTATGAACTTTTAAATATTTTTAAAAGAATTTTGTCAAACAGGTTCCAGAAGTTTGTTCCGGCACAGCATTCCCGCAGAAAAAAAGCCCTGCCTGAAAGTATTTTATTTTGCCACTAACCAACTAGCACATTGTCAGTTCCTGTAGTGAAGAGGAAACTGGGATTTTTAAAAACTGCTGTTTGGTTTGCAAACTAATTGAGAATAGAATAATATGCCTGTTTATTTTACTTTATTCTGCTTAAACTCAGGCAAAGTTTTAAGAAAATGAGTCAGAACATTTTATCAGTATGACTCACCTATTTTTGAACAAATAGCTGAACCTATTGCAGTCATATTTTCCTATTTTCCTCCCACTGCTGTAATGCTTGTGCCAGCCATTCTGTTTGTATATTATAGTACTCTTTGTGAGACATTTTTGTTAACTGAAAAGTCAGCTGTTTAAGGGACGTATTCTACAGTTAGCTGTTTACTGAAAACTTGAATAGTTGCCATGTGTATTTCAAGTTTGGTTTCTATGTGCTATATAGGAAAAAGTTAATGGGGAAAAATGTTTTCTCCTCCTTGCTCATATTTGTACATTGTTCTTTCTTTCTTTCCCTCCTTCTTTCCTTCTCTCTCTTTCTTTCTTTCCCTCTTTAGGTCCTTCTTTCCTTCTCTCTTTATTTCCCACTTTCCCTCCTTCTTTCCTTCTCTCTTTCTTTCCCTCCTTCTTTTCTTCTCTCTCTCCCTTCTTCTTTCCTTTTTCTTTTTTTTTCCTTTCCTCTCTCTCTCTCTCTCTCTCTCTCTCTCTCTCTCTCTCTCTCTCTCTCTCTCTCTCTCTCTGTGTTGTCAGGGGAGTAGCCTAATATGCTAATGAGTTTCAGCTGTTCAGTGTGGCCTATTATGCTAATGAGTTCCTGCTGGGCTTTTTCTACAAAAAGAGCCCTGTATAACCAGTGTGCTGAAACATACACAAGATAGAACATCTCACTGGAACAGGGAAGCTTCAGATGAAACCAGGTCAGATCACCTTTGTGTTTGCTGGGCACACCCATCTAGAAACAGCTGCCTCCACTGTAGGAAAATGATTGGTCTATAAACGTCCAACATTATGTGACTTGCCCCAGTACCCCATAGCTATCATTTTGTAATAGGCCCTATCCCATATTGGCAGCCATTTTATGCTGGAATCCACTCTCGATTCTCAAAATCCCAAAAGTGCCCACAAGCTGAACAAAATTAGGGACCCCATTTACTGAAGGGACATGGATAGTCAATAAAGAGACACTCAATTGGCTTGGTAAATTGCTTACATAGTACTTAGACATTAACCTATCAGCCCTCCTTCTTTGTTAAAGCCCCTTTTCTTAGACTGCTTTGAACATTGTGGGAAAGTGGTATAGAATTATATTAAATAAATAAAAAGAGAGTGAAAACATGATAATGGGAACTAAAATCAAAACTCATTTTTCACTCAGCTGTCTTCTGAAAATTCCTTTGTGTATAGCTGATGCTAGTATTTCTGACTCAACAATCCCAACAATTTCAAAATCCCATTTTAAATCCACCCTATTTTTTTCTGCACACCACATCAAAATGTTTGACTTATGTAGGAGTACAAAGGACCATACATTTAATTGCACACATTTAGCATTTAAAAATATTAGTAAGGTTTGGGGTAGGGATGACAGACCCCCAGTTTTGGGCACTCCTCCCCACCACCAGCCAGCTGGCCAGTGGGAGGGAATTACCCCCCCAACAGGCAAGAAGTCAGAAATAAACACAACATCAGGGGGGCGACACTATGGTTTTTGAGACAAACTCTATGGTAGAAGCTAATTCTACCTTAGAGGTTTTGCCCACAAACCAGAGCATCACCCCCGAGATCCTGATGTCACTTCCAGGTGATGTCGGCACTTCCAGGTGATGTTGCATTTATTTCTAGCTTCTTCCCTCCCCACTCCCTATAAGTTCACCCCCATCCCCCACCAGCTGGTCTAACAGACCTGACAACTGTAGTTTGTGAGAAAAAGAAATCTAGTAGCTGGTCCTTCAGATACTGGCTATAGATAACCAGAGAGCATGAACAATAGAAGACCAAATTTCCTTCAGGCATAAAAATGCAAGCTGCACAGAAATAATATGTTTCTTCTTACTGTGAGGAGCATCTTGCAATGTTCTGCCTGAACTCGCCCGACTAGAAGAGCATCCAGCAAACGTACATGCTGTGATTATAAAGCTGTAGTTTCTGTGTGGTTGAAGACCTAAAAACACAAATTAGGAAGGATTAAAATGGAATCTTCAAATGTTCTGAGGATTAGAATTCTAGGGACCAGGCAAAGCAAGACATTTGCTCTGATCCAGGAAAAACAACAGGTGAGAGATCCCCTCCACACACACAGGTCATCCCTTTAAAAAAAAACAACCCTATGTAGTTAGAGGACTCATTATCTCATTGAATCCCCCCTCCCCCAAGCTTATCTATTGCACACATTCCTGACTTCAGACACTGGGCTAAAACCTTTTTTTCTTCAGCCTGGCTTTTAACTGAATATTATTTCCTCACCCTATTCTCACTTTTTAATTTTTTTGCATTTATGACCACCTTTCGTGCTGATTTTATACTGCCAGTGCTACTGGTTACTACTTTTAAATACTGGGATGGGCTTTTAGTACTAATGTTCACTTTATTGAATTATTTTAATAGTTATATATTTGATTTTAAATTGTACTATTTATTGTTTTATTTTACAATGCTAGCCACATTGGGCAGATTCTGGAGAGTGTGGGATACACACATTTGAACAAATAAATAAAAGGCATAACAGTATTGGCAGGTGAATTTTATTCTCCTTTTCCAGGATATTCAAGTGGCAGGTTTGTCTTTTTAAAGTACAAAACCAGAGTATACGCGAGAGGGAAATGAAACCTTGAAAATCCAGCACCCTGCTTTGCTGTACTCAAGTACTTTCAACACCTTTCTCTCAGGTTAGTTCCAATAGTGGGTTATCTGGGCTAAAATGTTGAAAGTAGTAGAGTAAAGCACAAGACAGGGCAAAGCTCTCTTGGCCTGGGCACACTATTTTTTATTCAGATATAGGCCCTTTCCTTCTGCTTTATTTTCATATGAATGAGAAGTCTACCCTTTTCCTTACCAGGACTAATAGCATCTCTCGATGTGGGATTTATAAGGATAATCGTGTATCTGTGACATTTACATGAAATTACTGATTGAGACTTCCACTGACGCAATCACTGTCTTTGCAGCTGCCAGCAGGCTATGGATGAGTTCCCATCAGATTTTGGGAACTGAGGAATCACATCTATAGTGCAAAAAGATTAATTCTGGTGACAGTGGTAGGGTGCAGCCCATTATATGTGCTATTTGTGTAAGGATGTTGCCCCAAAATTCTTGTAAGTGTGGACATTGCCACCAGCAGTGGACAAAGGAGCCAGTGTCTCTTCAGCCTTTCCAGCAAAGCGGGGAATATGAAGAAGAAATCAGTGCCAGTTTCTTGGGGGTGAGATACCATTGAGACAAAACCTTGTAGGACTGCAATTTGATGTGGGAAGAAGAGGAGGAAGCAAGAGAAGTTTGCCAGATAGTAGACCATTGGTGATCTGTGAAGTCAATTCTGCAGTCTCATGTCCAAGCCAACTGATAAGGTAGCAGTCTAGACGTGCTCTGATGGAGTAATATATCATATATTTTCTTGATGAGGCCATGTGTTCTAATATCCTCGCAATTCAGTAGATTTTCAAAATCCAATTGAGGCGAACTCAGAATGGTAGATAACTATAGTTGAGTGGTCATGTGATGCAATTGAATGTAGAAGAACAATGGGTTTTTTTGTGTAACTTTTATTCTAATAACGATTTTGGTGAGAGGTCATGTTTCAAAGCTATATCTTTTAGATGTGTGCTTTTGGCTTTTCTCCAGAGAGAGGTGATTGATGGGTCTGCTCCCGGATGGAACCAAGTTTGGCACAAAAAAGTAGAAAAATGCAAGATCTCCAGGACCAACCTGTGTTTGAGGGAGTCCCACACCCTAAGGATGGCCATAAGAAAGATGTTGTAACAAATACTTGCTGGGCGTGATTTTGGGTTGGTCCAAATAGTTTTTTGTAAAGACATAGGGTGACAAAGCAGTTCAAGTGTTGAGATCCAATCTACCTGGTCTCCGGTCCATAGGATTTTAATAACATTTGCTAGTAATGCAGTTTTGTAGTATGTAGCGATGTCAGCATAGTTCAGTCCACCTCGATTAGTGCATAATCACAATGTTCTGAACCCAATATGTAGACATTTATGATGCCAGAGGAAAGTGTTAAGGGCTGATTGCCAATGACATAAGTTTTTTGATGGTATCTCTATAGGTATAGTCTAAAAGAGAAAAAGAAGTTTGGGGGAAACAAAAGTTTTGATTAGATGAAAATGATCATACCAGGAAAACGATTGTTTGTCCCATTTCCCAAGGTCAGCTTTAATATCCTGAAATTTTCAGAGATCATTGATTTTCAGTAGATCCGTTGGAGAAGTTGAGAGAAGAATTCCCAGGTAGGGAAGTGGTTTTTCTGACCAGTGATAGATATAATGTTGTTTCAGGTGTGTCAATGAGGAAGGGGAGAGATGGAGAAGAAATTTTTTATGGATTGAGTTTCAGTCCTGAGATCATGCCAAAGTTTGTTAGCACATTTTGAAGGTGAAAAAGCAATTCTTCAGGGCTTGTGATATAGGAGCGTGTCATCCGTAGAGAAGATAGAAATTTTTTATGGATTGATTTTCAGTCCTGAGATCATGCCAAAGTTCGTTGGAACATTTTGAAGGTGAAAAAGCAATTCTTCTGGGCTTGTGATATAGGAGCGTGTCATCCGTGAACATACTCAGTTTAAATCCGTATCTAGTTTGACCCCGTGTATCTTTGAATTGTGACGTATTTCAGCAGCTAGCGACTCCAGAGTTATCACAAACAAGATGGGAGAGAAGGGACAGCCTTGCCTGGTTCCTCTGTGCAAAGTAAAAACACCATAAGCTTCCCCATCTACTTTCACTTGACTGCTACTCATGAGAATGCCGTCTCTCCTCTGCAGGTGTGCTGCTATGCTCATGTAGGTGTGTAGTCTTGGGCCTTTTAGCCTTCAGTAGTAATTTTCATATAGCACAAAAAGGCACATTGAGCCAAGAGGACAGGTGGGGTATAAATGTCTAAATAAATAAATATATTTTTAAAAGCAAATATTTGCCTCCCTTCCTTGTAGAAGTGTTGGACTGGGGATGTATTATGGTTAGCTACTTCCTCTATCCATGCTCCAGTATGCAAAAAGGAAGACTGGGTCTTTGCCTTTATGCCAGCATACTGCTCTGCCTGCCTACCAACAGGACAATAAAAAGTTTTGCTCCAGTGTAGCCCATACAATCTCAGAGAATGGAATAACTCACACAAACTAGACCCATGTTTATGTAGAATGTAGAATCAGGAAGCCCTCTCAAGCTACTAATGGTACAGTGGTGGGTAGAAATGTGCACATAAAAACAGCAGTCCTGGTGCTCCTGTTGGGTGAAAAATTTGGGAAACTGTTCTAGTATCTGAAGAAATGGCTATTATACTACAGGGCCGCAGCATAAGTGTGGCTAAAGGAATGGATTACTTTGGGGTTGGACAGTGCCCCTACCAAATGTTGAGTCGGTCATTACCCTTAATTGCTGATCCCTCCTCTTTCTGTACAGAAAGATGAAATTGCAAAGTGAAGTGTTTGACTAAATGTCAGTTTGGAAGATCTCCAACTGTTCACAAATGTTAGGAATTGTTCTAGTTTGATTCCAAGCATTTATTATATTAAATAATAGACATGACTCAAATAAGATCTGATTAGTTAAGTTCCACAGTACATCCATAATAAAGATATGATCTTCACACTGGATTCTCCAATGCACAAGTGAGCCTGGCCCAGCAGCAAGCACTACACAACTGGGCCAGTTTTCCTGGGCAGAGGCTGCCAGAGGAAGGAAGGAGGGACAGCTAAAGACTGGGAGGAAGATAAAGTTAGGTTGGCTGGCGGGTGGGAAGGAGAGAACCAAAAAGGAAAGAGGACAGGCTATGGTGGCTTTCAGGGAATGGAAAGAGGAAATAGTAAGGTAGGGGGTCATGAGATGCCCCCTGTACGTCCTTGTGGGTCCCCAGCTTGTTTCGTTTAATTCGCTTTTAAAGCCATCTAAGCCATTAACTCAACTTGCAGCAGCAACTTCCTCAAGTTATCTGATTCTGTACACTGTATGGAGAAATACTTTATTTCTGCCACTGCATACAGAAACAGTCACCAGCTTCTAAGATTAGGGTCTAAAATGCTTTTAAGGCTTGAATTTTGGACACATTAAAAAAGTGCATTGGAATCTATTAAAAATACGACCATTTTTCAAATCAAAATCAGTTTTACAAGTCCAGTGTACAAGTCTCCTATTTCTGTACCCTTATTTTACAGTTAGATCTCATGGTTTCTCCTTTAAGTTTCTCTGCATTTGGCTATCATGAAACATTGCAAGATCCAACTGCGCCTTTGAAATTGGTTTATAAATATGTAAATATGTATTCATTCTAATACATAAGCCTTGAAATGCAGTATCAAGGCAGGAAAAGACACCAGATTCTCTGTTTGTGAGCAGAGAAACCTCTATTAGACTTCTGTTCACATTTTGTACTTTTCCTCTAATCTTCCTTGTCCTTGTCAGTGATGGGTCCCGCTCTTTCTTATCTCTGCTTGCCTATCCTTTGCAGAATGTTTTCATTAAACTAGCATTGTAAGTACTTTAAGAAAAAACAATGCAATTCTATGACAAGGAGAGAGGAAAAACCTTAGGGCTGAGCCCTTTGTCTAAAACCGGTTAGATGACAGCTTCATTGTGCTTTTTTAAAGTGGCCATACATACAGAACAGCAATATGCAACAGACCCGTCAGAAAGGGGGAGGGGGGAGAGACAATGAATGAATGACACCCAGGGCTTTAAAGATGCTTTCAAACTGAACTGGATGTGAAATGTTGAAAAATAAAAAGATGAGTTAGAGGGACAGCCTAGCCTGTAACCTAATCATGAACTGGAAGGGGCAGTGGGGGGCTGGGATTTCTCTATATAGTGAGCATAGAAGTAAGGGTGATAAAAATGGCAGCTGCAGGCTTGATAGGCTAAAGCATAAATGGGTGCCAAATATTCAACAACAACACATGATAGGGAAGATTGCAGTGGCTACAGATTACTTCAGTTCCTCTAAACGGAGTCACAATCACTTTTAAAGGAAACAACCATAATAAAGCAAGATTCATTTACAACTATATACTACTGAAAGCAAAAATGGTCATGGAAAGAAAAGGTTTTTTTGTCTAAAGTCTTGTAGCTCCCCTGAACCAACGTGCAAATGTGGCATATTCACTTCAACCCCAGACATATATACGTTTGTGCACAACTTGCAAATTTATCTTGGCATAAGCCTTTCATGTGGAAGGAAAATGGCAGAGAAAGGCAATGGCAAACCACCTGCTTCTCACTTGCCTTGAAAGCCCCCTGTCATAAATCGACTGCACCTTGATGGTACTTCACACACACAAAGAGTGCACTTTGATACATTTGATGAAGTAGGCTGTAGGTCATGAGAGTTTATGCTACGGTAACTTGGTTAGTGTTTTCTACAAGACTCTGTGCTGTTTTTGCACAAAGACAGGGCTATCCCTTGGAAATATTTAGGAAATTATCAAGCCATTTATCTCTCAAACAGGCCTGCCAAGTCCCTGGTGGGGAGAGGGGTGTCAGCATATACAGATAGCTGTCAAGATCACAACAAGTCATGTAGACAGGGTGTTTAGATCAAGACAATCTAGGTTGACAGCTGAGTGATCATATGACTCTAGATTGCATCATATCTGTAGGTGTCACTGTGACTCAGCAATTGTACAGGACTGTACTCTGATTGGTCTAAACTTGTATATATTGTAACCTTGTTAACTCACTGCCTATATGGTTACTGCTGTTCTGTGTAGCACTTTGATGGTTGGAGTCCTGAATTGCTACAAACCGTATATATTCTCTGTAAATAAATTGTATATACTCTGTAAAGACAACAGAGTGCTCTGCTACTTTTCGGCTTCAAACACCGTCAAGGCGATTCCCTGTTTCCAACTCTCATTTCCTATTTTCCCTTTCCCACTGGGGACATGGGATCCCCCATGATCAGCGGTGGGAGAAAAATAAACAAAAAATGGTCTTTGATCCATGTGATGTCATTTCCAGGGAAAACCTGAGAGGGACATCAGTCCTCTCTAGGAATTGATGGAAAGGCTATGGTTTCCCCCAGAAGTCACATCACAATGTAGCCAGTGGCGACCACCTCATCTCCCCACCCCCAATCTTCCAACTGGTTGCCAGGCAACCCTAGTTCCAAATCATTCTCTGTATAATATATGCATAGTATGATGATATATCTCAGTAAATGTGGTCCCTTATTCAATACAATTAGTCCTTCAAACTCTTCCTAATGTTTATTATTCTAAATAATCTAACGTACAAAGAAATATGAAAATTAATTCCAGTTCTAGCACCTACTGCTGAAGAGGGCAGTGTTAGCTTGCTTTTGCTACAACGCCCCTAATTATTTTAGTCTCCCCCCATCCCCCCACTGCATTAGCAAGACCATTTGTAAAGGAGTAGTAACACAAAGTGAAACAATGCCATAACTGTCATCCAAATTGTTCTGTACAGAGTACTGGAAGTGTTCACTAATAAATGATATAAAAAGGTCTTTTATTGACAAGCTGCCATATGCTGTTTGCATTAGAGAATATGAGAAGATGATGGCTGGTGCCCCTCGATCCCAATGGCATTCAACTCCGTGCGATAGGAGAAAATGCTCCAGTTTACTTAAAGCATTGATAACACCTCTAAATAATTAACCGAGGACTTCCTGTCTTCAATTACTTAATGCTTTTTTTAACATCTTGAGAGGATTATAAGCAATTTATGGATTTCACATGACAAGCACATTCACCACTATTCCCACAAAGCATTTATGGGATCATGTTTCCAAAGCTTTGATGTAATTAAAAATAAGCAGCAAGACAATGGTGCAGAGGCAAAGTGCAAGCCTCCTCATCTGCAATTTGTAAGGCCCTTGGATTCAAAGTCTCAGGGAACGCTAATGCTACAGCTTCATTAACGCTCAACTGTTGCTCTGGGAACAGCAGAGGTTTTTTGAAGAAGATGAGAAAATCAAAACACATGGTCCATAAGGGATCAAAATGCTGGGTAGTTCAAACATTAGAGATATGTGAAAAGTACAGTCGTCTTAGCGAACATCATGAATTTAGAGAATAGTAATTATCCACATTGGAAAAACACTAGATTAGCAGTTGGGTGAAAAATCGTCCCTGGCCAGCAAGGGGGAACATTGTTGCATACCAAAATGATGATGATGATGATGATGATGATGATGATGATGATGATGATGATGATAGTAGTAGTAGTAGTAGTAGTAGTAGTAATAATAATGATGATGATGATGATGATGATGATGATGATGATACTTGAGGTTACATTGGCTTTGGCATTGCAAAAAAACCCAATTAAATTATGAGCTCTGCTTTGGTCCTAGTGCTGGCAACCAGACATCGCAACAAATACAAGAGAGGCTTCATGCTCCATTTGCAAATTCCCAGAGGCACCTAGCTGGCCACTGTTTGAAATGGAATGCAGGACCAGCTAAATCTTTGGTCTGATCTTGCATGTTTTTCTTATGGAGTTTTGCTGCTTGCTTAAAATCGAATAATACATTTCTTTGCTGATTTGACATTGCAATGTCAGTAGAAGTTTATAGTGACTGCCATAACAACAACAACAACAAAAGCATAGGGCTGCCATAGGAGGAAAGGCAAATGTTCACCAATCCAAGTATTTGTGGTATGAGAAAGCTGATACTATTGGTCTTTTAGACCAACTTTTTTAGGGTTTTCCAGACATTTTGGTTTCATCACCAGCAAAAAGGATTTCAAAAATTATCAATGTCCTTCTAATCGGAGGCATAACCCAATCAAAAATGTGCACTCACCAAGGTGACTGCCAAGTTCCTGAGTCCAACGCTGAAGACAGAAATTTCCCTGATTTCTTTTTCTTATGAACACATAAGGAAAGCTATAAGCATGGAAACCTCTGCTAGTGGCTGAAATCCTCATATTGACTTAAATGCAGAGAGGATGGCTGGAATTGTGTGCCCAGCTATTTCTATTCGTGTATACATGAAGTCATCAATGAAATGGAAAGGCGGGGAGGGGAACCTGATGGCAACATCAAACCTTGTTTTCACATCTGAATTTGGCATGACAGGTGGCATGATGAATTATCTCTTTGTGGTGTCTTAAGTAGGACATTGAAAGAAAAAAAGGAAGAAAAGTTGAGATCTCCATTGGGATTATCTGATCCCCCCTAATAATATTCTGAGAGGGGACAAAGACCAGTGCTTTGGACCCATCCTTAAAAGTACAGTACCATGACTATGTTACCATCATGAGCATCTGGCCCTGGGAAGAGAGACCGACAGTGTCACGTGGAACTGACAGCATTGATTGGGTGTACCATCTTTGAGACATCATCTTAATGGAAGATCATTCTGGAACATCTAGAGCACTTATTATATTGTAATATTGTAGTAATGATTTTATATGGTTTTAACATGTTTTATGTGTTGGCTTATGCCTATTTGTGAGCCGCCCTGAGCCCGCGTTTGCGGGGAGGGCGGGCTATAAACTGAATTTATAAATAAATAAATTAAAAAACCCAGATCCTGTCAACTCCATTTGATCATGCCAAAACATATTGACCTCACCCCATAAAGCCCCTTGCATGAATCCACCCTGTGGCACACGGCCAAAATATAAACGCTCCTGGCAGTCACCTCCCATTCTGAATCTTTTGATGTGAAAGTTGATGGGATTTCTTTCCAGGTAAGAATTCCCAGGATTGCAGCCTTAATAAAGGCTACATAGGCATATTAACTAAACTTAGGTGAGGGCATTTGTTTTGAAAGGCTTCTCCATTCTTACCTGATACAGTATGCTGCATCCTGCCTGCAGTGTCTGTGTGTATAAGGCCTCTGCCAGTTTGACTGATCTGGTATTCTCGGATGATACCGTTTGGTTTTCTTGGTGCCATCCAACTCAAATGCAATGCCGTTGTGTTCAAAGCTGTAACTGTTGGAGGCTGAACACTCTCTGGGACTCCTTGGACAGTGACTGCAACTACCTGAACACACATGAATTAGACAGCAATTTATTGTAATAGTACACGAGATACCTTGATCAATGAGAATGTCACTTCGAGTTTAAAATGTTGTTGTTTGCTCTGGCATATCATTACCACTGCCCTGTAGAACTAGTTACTTTTCTCCCCTTGGTTTATTTTTTCCCCTGTCGTGAAATCTGACCTTGAATATGTTACGTATGAGTCTAGGTGTACAATTTATCAAAGCAGATTCACAACATTTTGTCTTCAGTGCATAGCACTACGCTAAAGGAAAATCTGGATGGCAGGTTGTCTTGCCAGAGAATGCTTGATAACCCACCTCCATATGGTTCATCAGTGTCTTTGCATTTTAACAGCCTGATTTGATATGGTTTTATCATCAGTAAACACTGGCATAAACTTTGAAAGCCATTGCTACCTTTACCCTTAGTTAGGAGTGCCATCATAAAGGACTGCAGTCTCTCGCTTGGTTCCAGGCCCTTATGCAGTTCTCTGGCTGGCAGTGGGCTGCTTGTACATCAGCTGCTGCTGCTGGTTACCAGGAATAGTAATGTTATGGCACTTCCCCCCCCCCCCCCCAAGGGCCTGATTCTTGAAGTCCTGTAGATAGAGCCAAAGAGCTCACCGATCACAGCTGAGTAATCAGAGTATGTGTGTCTCACCAATACTAGAGACAGACAGCCCACTGTGCTGATCTGAAAACAAGGTTTCTTGATTTTTCTTCCTTCCTTTGTACATCACAAGTTAACTGTTTCACACTTTAAAGTGATAAAACACAGAGAAGCTCCAAGTTCAGTGTCAATTGCCATAGGAAGAATTACTTGGACCTAAAATTCAAGGGTTTGGGGAGAGGGTTTGTGTGTGTGAGAGAGGATTCGGTGCTGGTTTGTTTCTTGCAGCTCCTGGTGCATGGTTTGTCTTCTGTCCCCAACTCTCTTGGTATGCCACCCACTATCCCAGCTTAGGTAAAGTTAAAGGTTCCCTTGCTCGAAAGCTCGTCGAGTCCGACTCTAGGGTTGCGGTGCTCATCTCCGTTTCAAAGCCGAAGAGCCAGTGCTGTCCATAGACGTTTCCGTGGTCATGTGGCCGGCATGACTAAACACCAAGGCGCACGGAACGCTGTTACCTTCCCATCGAAGTGGTACCTATTTATCTACTTGCAATTTCTTGCTTTCAAACTGCTAAGTTGGCAGGAGCTGGAACTAGAGACGTGAGCTCACTCCGTCACGTGGCACCCGGGTCTCGAACTGCTGAACTACTGACCTTCCACAGCCTGCAGTTCAGCGTCTTAACCACTTGAGCCACCCAGCTTACATACTGTTAATTATTTTCTGTACCACCTCTCCAAGAAACCTGCCTGAGCCACCTTACAAATATAAAACATAATAAAACATAAAACACCAAAAAAAATAACAACTGAAACTCAGCATTAAAGACCCAGTCCAGAGCATAAAACACTGAGCAGCTTGAATTCTCAGGCTAAAAGCAGTTTGTAAAAATATTAATAGATCAGACCCATTAATCAAAAGCTTGTTTTAAAAGAATCTTTTGGCCTGGTTCCTAAATGAGAGTAGCACAAGTGTGAGGTGAATCGCAAAGGGAAGGACATTCCACAGGCAAGGTGCTACCACTGAAAAGGACCTGTCGGTGGTTGCTACCTCATCTCTGAAGGTGTTGGCACAGAAAGTAGGGCTTTTGAGGAAGATCTTAGCTGGTGATCTGGACAGTACAGTTAGTAGCAATCCCTTAATTACCCTGGCCTCAAGACCTTTAGAGTATTAAAGGTACTAATAAGCAGTCTGAATTATGTATGGAAACAAGTGGACAGCTAATGCTGATCTTTCAGCACAGGGGTGATAGATCCTTACATTATGATCCTGACAGTAGCATGGCTGCCACATTAAGAGTCAGCTAGAGTTTCTGGGCAATTTTCAAATGCATATCTGAAACGTCTGCTTAAACTCCTTCACATATAAATACATGGACATACATACAAACATCCCAACAACAAAATCTAATATGCAAGCAGAATTAAAATTAGTAACCTTCAGTTGGATTTTCCAAAGGATCCTGTTCCAAAGACATTTCTCCCCTACCGCTGCCAGAAAAGACTCACCCATATAGTAAAGAATTTACCTACCTTGCTACTGTCAGCACAACCAGCAACAGAGCATGCACGTAACTGATATGAATACTCCTGATATGGTTGAATACCATCGGTGTCTGTGAAGCTCAGTTCCTTTCCTCTGTAACGCTCGATCCCATTTCGGAGAATCATGTAGTGAATTATGATACCTTGTCATAAAAAGACCAAAAAAACACACCTTTGGATTAAAAATACCAGGAATTCACATGCCAAATTAATAGAACCTGAAAGAGAAGGTGGCATGGTATACCCCATCTCGTCAGACCTCAAGACCTAGGTAGGGTCAGGAAACTACCAAGGAAGACTCTGCAAAGGAAGGCAATGGCAAACCACCTCTTGTTCTGACTTGCCTTGAAAGACCCTTGCTGGGGTCACCTTAAGTTGGTTGTGACTTGATGGTGCTTATGTCCGTACAATCGATCCTGCAAGAGATATAGCCTTAACAGAAACCCACTACAAAGAATAGAAATACTGAAATAGGAGAAAGGGAAGCCAAAACAAGTGGGTCCAGTGAGAAAATAGGGATGTTTCCCACATTCTACTCATCTGAATTTCTCTCTGGATTTCTGAATTTTGTATAGAGTTACATACATGTGAAGTGTGCTGCATCTTTCACATTTTATTCTACTTCACATACCAATGTCCATGTACAGAGGGATAAAACACTGCAAAAGCCATTTGGATGTGATTGTATTTATTTATTGTATTTTCTACACTCTGGAATAAAAGCATGCCTCTGACTATGTTTAGGAACATCCAGACTTTTAGGATGACAGGCCTACATGTGTCTCGTAAGCCCTCTGTGCCACCAGTGCTTCCTTCCCCTTTCCTTTTGCAAGGTTCAGTTACCTTGGAAATAGGGGAGGAAAAAATGGGACAGGTTTTCCAAAGTTTGGCTTTCTAAACTTCTCCAAGAATTCTCCAGGAAACCAAAATAATTATAAGGCAAAGCAGCGGGGAGCTCATCTATCATCAATACCAGCTGAACATCCCATTATGTAATATCATCTTATCAAACTACCATTTGGTTGAAGAGGTTCTTTCCAGTTGAGAAATATCATGTCTTCTCGATTGTCCACTTTGGCCCACTGGGGTGGACTTACACCTTCAGGCACATCTTGTTTAGTAGTAGCACTGCCAATTTCACTGAAACATTTTCCATGTTTGTTCGATGCAGCTACACGGTATTCATATTTAATATAAGGTTGCAGATTTAGATCTAGGAAGAGAAAAATTGACAACAATATTATGAACAATTTCCAATGTACATTAAAAGTCATCTTTCAACAAGTTAAAATGAGCCTTCTAAGGAAACTAACCAAGATCACATAATGATTGAGGTGCACACATGTAATCCAGAGTTTAAATAAAGGTTATTTCTGCTTCAAGAAAACCACATGTTGGACTGTAATTAGCTGACCACTTTGAATATTTATTTACTGAAGAAATATCAACGAACAGAGAGCTGTTCAGAAGTTATATTAGAGAAGAGTGGGATCATCAACATGCTGGCCCCAGGCCCCCGCACCTTGGCAGATTTGACATCATTTTTTAACAGAGTCTCTCTGGGCACAGGGTGAGAACAGCGGGTGCAATCGCATATTCAACTTTCCCTGAGGTAACTTCTGAACAGCCCTGAAAATGTTGTACTTCACTAAGATTTCTAGTTAGCAATTAACAATTAATTGTGTAATTCTCCGTATCATATTCTTTTACCTGTGAATGAATATTGAGCTGGACCTCCAGTATAGACTTTCTCCTCCACAGTTGGGCATATACCTTCATTCCTTCTCTTGTCTGTATCATTCCAGGAGCTCTTTATCCAAGCACATATACGGGCATGTGGGTCAAAGTCACACCGCCCACAGTATGCTGTTGCTTCCATGGATACTGGGCACAGGAAAGTAGCTTTACATTCTTCCTTCATCTGTGACAATGGTCCCCAAATGTTTTAGTCACTGTACCACTTTTAAAATAGTGAAATCTAATATGGACACCCAACTGTCTCCATTTATTACACACATGCTAGTGTATCAGACCTCCACTAGCTCTTATGCTAACTCAACATACTCCTATTTTGCCTTATTTCTACTGAGGTCTCTGGGTCCATGTGATTCCCCTCCCCCATACATTCCCTACATAATCTTCTTCCACCATTCTTTTTTTTTCATCATTGAAGCTACTTCCACTTTCTCCTCCTCACATTGGGCCTAGAGAGAAGACATGGAAAGTTCATGCAGTCCGTTACAATTGCATTTCTATTCCCATTGAACTGGTGTTTTTTCCAGCACAGCTAACTCAAGGTGCTCTAATAATGAATGGGAAATGTCATAATTGTATTATTATAGAAGTTTTTATACCAGTGTTTTTATACCGATGCCAAGCCATGCAGTGTAATTAACAGTGCTTCATGCAGTGATAACATTAAGGACTCCTCCAAGTTATGTCAGAATTATACTAAGTAGAAATTAGGTTTTGGTTGGTCTGAGCAAGCTTTGCATCACTGAGGCTTTGTCAGTCATTGCTCACCAGTCACCGCTAACTGACTCACTACAGAACAGTAGTGTCTCACCTGACATTAGGTATGCTGATACTCAGCAAAGTCTTACCCACAGCTTGGCAGAACCCTCCCACTTCATCCCAAACATTCACTATAGCTGTGAGAGATCAGATAAAACTGATTTTTTTTATTTGGAAGCCTTTCAAATGACCTCATATGTGATGACCCTAAAACAAAAAACAGTGCTCCATAAAAGCAAATAGAATTGTGGCCTGCAATACGATAACATTCAAGAATCTCGGACATACCACCAGCAGGAATTGAACTGGTCACACAACTGAAGGTAGTTCTACCAGCCCGTATCTGGCATGCTAACTTTTAGCCGTTATACTAATCTGAAGTGCTGAGCAACACTTCACAAGAAGCGGCTAATCATTATTAATTCCTTTAGAATTCACTGCAATAACATCAATCATGGCAAACTCATTCCGTATTAATATGGATGTAATGTGAAAATGAATAATGCACACAGGAGTTTTTATATTCCTATTTTACAAAAATAGTTATGAACAATGTATTTCTCTTTCCATTGTCAAATCAGAACCACCAAGAGGTTTTCTATCAATTACCTTCCTCATCTGCTGAAATCCTGTCAGAGCAAACATATTTCAAAGGATTATATCCAAGTCCATTACAACATTCCTCGCTCTTTGGAATAAGTTCAGTCTCACAGCATTTTAATGGCACTGGGTCATTCCTTTTAATGTGGGCTTTAGACTCACCACTGGAAGCTGAGCAGCATATGGTACTTGACATATTCACATATTCATGCCCACAACAGAACATCCCTGCGACAATAAAACATTATATATGAATGCAAAAGGAGAGAAAGAGGGGGGAAATACGGAGAATGCTATAAAATGCAGCATAAAAATGTCAGGACGAAGCAGCTACTGGTACTGGAAAAAGATATCTAAAGTGGTATTTAATTCTGAATTTAAGATGATTAAACTGATAGGCCTTTGTTCAAGGGGACTAATTCAAGAAGGGATCTGGCCCCTGCTCCTGTGTCTACTGCAGTAAGAAGTAGCCATTAAACTCAACTGATGCACCACACTGCAAGCATTTCAGCACACGTGTGCAAGGATAAAGAACTGTGTGGATTTTAGCGCCCAAAGCTTGGAAAATAGCATTGCTACACCCGTACAAAAAGCAGGAAAATGGGCTTTATTCCTTAACACTACTAACAGCACCATCCTCAGCAGCGTTTCCAGCTTCCGCATCCATTGAAATCAAGTTCCAATCTATGCTAGGCACTGTACAGAGCAGAAGAGTCATACAAATGGCTACTTAGTGGGCTAACAATACATGTCTAGACAGTGATAGTGACAGAGGCAAGATTAATAGTGAGTAGTAGAAATGAGGCCGTGAAGAAGCAGGTGGTAGGGAGAAAGTTTTTTTTTAAAAAAAACAACAACAGCAACTACTCTGAAATTGGGAAAACCTTGTTAGGGAAAAAAACCCAGAATGGTATCAGGAAGAGAATATCCTGCGTCAACAAAACTGTTCTCGCTCCAAAGTAGACAGAAGCCAAAAGGTATGAACAGGGATTGTGCCAAGCAGCCGTCTGGCTTCCTGCTGCAGCACAGGCGTCTTGGCACAATGCCATCTGGCTTCCCTGGGGCAGCTGTGGAGTCAATTCACAACTCCCCTAGGGGGAAGGTACCATCTGGAACCACCCTAACAGGCACAGCCTAATATTTGTTGCTCCAGCGTGTGCATTTCTAGAATCATGCATAGCAAAATATATAGGAATGCTTTATCACAAAATAGGTTGTAGTGTTAACACAGCTGTGTTGCTAGCATTAATGTCACAGGCAGATGTGGCAGTGCAAGGATTCCAAGGGTAGCAAATGAAATGGAAGCTATAATCCAAGTTGTTTCTGTTTAGTGTACTGTTGACTTCCTTTGAATCAGCGGCTTTAATTTATTCATGGTTATTGTCTAATAACATTGCAAGAGGCAACTTAGCTGTTGAAGACCAAAAGACATTGAAGCTGCACAACGAAACACACCTCTCTGTCCTGCAAGCCATCCCCCTCTTCTGCCTGCAAATGAACAAGCATAAAGAAGCAGGTGTGCAGGAACAGACTGCCTTGGGAGGTGGTGGATGCTCCTTCGCTGGATGTGTTCAAGAGGAGGCTGGACGACCATCTTTTGGGTATGTTGTAGGGCTATCTTTCGGCTATGCTCCTGCAGAGTGCAGGGGGTTGATGACCTGCAAGGTCCCTTCCAACTCTAACATTCTATGATTCTATGATACTCCCCTTCCTGTAATGATAGTTCTCCAACATAGTAGACCATTGGGCTGCAAAGCCCAAGTTGGAAAATTCCTGGAGATTTTGTGGCTGGAACCTGCAAAGGGAAGGGTTTGAGGAGGGGAAGGGGCTCAACAAGGTATAAGGCCACAGAGTCCACCTTCCAAAGTGGTTATTTTGTCTGGGGGAACTGATTGCTGTTGTCTGGAGACCTTTTGTCATTCTGGAAGATTTCCAGGCCCCACCTGGAGGTTGACAAGCCTAGTAGACTATCCACAGTCATTCTGCTTCTTAGACTAGGAGGAAGCTTCTGAGCCACAGAAGAATGGGAGCTTTCCACAGAGTGCAAGGAACAAAGAGGGATGCAGCATGGTGATCTGCAATGGGAAGGGACAAGCAGAAGAAATTCACTTGAATGGGCAGTAGCACTCTTTCATTTGCTGAAGAGGAAGCCTGGGTTCAACCACAGGCATACCACTGCATACAAAGGAAATATCTATGAGGGGGGCAATTCCATTCTCTGAGTCTGTTTGTCAGTTGCTGCTTTATACAAAATTCATTGTACTTGGCTTTGCACTGACATAGATACCCCGAGGCTAGATTATTTATTTATTTATTTATTTATTTATACTTTAGATTTCTATACCGCTCCAAACCCCGAAGGGTCTCTGAGCGGTTTACACAGTTCCAAATTATCCCTAACTAAGGCCACATGTGTTACAAGGGTCGGGGCTACCTACCGGCACCCAGGTGGCAGGGCTCGCTGTTCTCGGCTTGTTCCCGGGCGGTCTTTTTCGGGCGTCGGTGTTCCTATGTTCCTGGCATCTCTGGTGTCTGGTGAGGTCTTTTCGGTCCGGCGGCTTTCTTTCTAGGCGGGCTCCTCTAGTGCGTGGTACATGTCGACTTACAGCCCAGCTAACATCCGATCCGGCTCCGCTGCGCCTGCACACATCACCACGTCCTCCTATGGCTCCGCCTCCGTCACTCTGCTGCCTCGCTCCGTCGATCCGATGCCTTGCCATTCCACCATCGCCGCCATTTTTTGCTGCTGCCGCCTTGATGCTCCTGCCGCACACCCCCATATGGGGGAGGGTGCCCCCTGCCACCTAAGGGCAGGTACCCATTAATCTACTCGCAATATCTTTTTTACTTGCTTTCGAACCGCTGGGTGGGCGGGATGGGTGGCAGCCTAAGAAATAGCATCTCTATCTTGGCACCAAATTTATGGAATTCCCTCCCCTGGGATATCCATCAGTCCCCCTATGTAATTGTCTTCTGCCAGATCTGTTATTCCCTCACTGACCCTCCTTTCTGTGTATGTCTTTTAATGGTGAATGTGGTCTGTTTAATCTGTTGCTTTTATACTATGTATTTTAAAAGCTTGTTTCAATGTTTTTGATTGTTTGCTCTAACCCTAAACTGGGTGGAAACATGGCATAAAAAACCAGGGGTCGAAGGTTGTGACGATCACTGATTGCGGTAATGTCCGGGTGTGGGATTCCGGTGCTCCTGGGGAGGGGAAAGTATAGTGGTGGGACCAGGCAGGGAGTCAAGGGAAGGGGGCTGAGAAATACGATAGCTTGGCCACCTTCCAGCCTGCGTCCCATCCCGAGGGATGTTAGCAGTAGGGCTAAGACTATTAACCCCACTCCGACATTGGCATTGTTTAACGCCAGGTCTATAAATAATAAGACCATGGTCCTTAGGGACTTGATGCAAGAGCAGAATGTAGACCTGGCATGCGTGACCGAGACTTGGGTGCAGGAGGGGGAGACTGTAGCTCTTTCCCAACTTGCCCCCCCGGGTTTCAGTCCTTCACGAATCACGGACTAGGGGGTGAGGAGTAGTAGTAGCTCTATTCATCCAGGAGGCTTACTCCTTCAGGGCATTGAGTGTGCCGGCTTGGTGTGGGAAGCCGGGGAGAGTTTGGCGATTTGGCTGGTGTACCAACTGTTTAATGCACCAGCCAATAGCCTGTCATCCCTGATGGAGGACGTATCAGGCTGGGCATTGGAACACCCTAGACTGATAGTCCTGGGTGATTTCAATGTCCATGTTGATGACACGGCCTTTACTCAGGCAATAGATCTGGTGTCGTCTATGGTGGCACTAGGACTCTCCCAATATGTAACAACCCCCACTCACCGGGCTGGCCACACGCTCAATTTGATTTTTGTGGCGGGGGTAACAGTGGATTGGGTTACCACTTCGGTAGTTCCATGGTTGTACCACCATGCCCTGAGGGCCCACCTGAATGTTTCACCCCAACCCTGTTTAGGCAGCGAGCATATTTTAGATCACCTACGGAGCCAGATGGACCCAGTGTGGTTCCAGAGGGCTCTGCGGGACCCGATGCCCCCTAGTGGCTCACTGGCACAGCTGACTCTCTGCAGCCATCGGCAAGATCGCTGGCACCCTCTGCACCCTCACTCTAGGCTTGCTCCTTGGTTTACCCAGAAGTTGCGGCTTATGAAATGAGAGCTCAGACGGCTAAAGAGATGGTGGCATCGCGCTCGAGATGAAGCTACAAGAGCATCCTATAGGACATTTATGAGATCCTATGAGATGGCAGTCAAAGCTGCAAAGAGGGAATTCTTCACAGCTATGATTGCATCCACGAGCTTACACCCAGCCCAATTATTTAGAACAATTCAGTCTATAACTGTTCTGCCACAGGGCAGACCAAGTGCTAGGGAACTGGATATAGGCTGTGAGGCATTTGCGAGCTATTTCATGGATAAAGTCTTGTCGCTCAGCTGCAACCTCCCCACCACATTTGAAACAGTGAGTGAACTTGAGGCTCCATGCACATCTTCGATTTCAGTCTTGGATCATTTCAGCCTGCTCAACCTAGAGGAAGTCAACAGATTGCTCCTGACTATGTCCAACCATGTTCAACCTTGATCCATGCCCTTCCTGGCTTATTAAAGCTGGCCACGATGGGTTTCAAGGGAAATTATCAAGTCCCTCTCAGAGGGGCTGTTCCTGGGGGCACTCAAGGAAGCAATGGACCCGCCATCTCTTTAAAAAACCATCCCTGGACCTGGCTGAATTGGCTAACTACTGGCCGGTTTCCAACTTGCCCTATTTGGGTAAGTTAATTGAGAGGGCAGTGGCGTTACAGTTGCAGGGCTTCATGGATGACACTTCTATGCTAGATCCTTTCCAGTCTGGCTTTTGCCTGGGACACAGGATGGAGACAGCACTGGTTGCCCTCACAGATGACCTCTGCAGGCATCTGGATCAGGGCGGATCAGCAGTACTGCTGTTGTTAGAGCTGTCGGCAGCATTCGACATGGTCGACCATCAGTTACTAACTCACCGCCGTGCCGACATGGGAATTCAGGGGCTTGCCCTGCAGTGTCTTGCTTCCTTTCTCCAAGGTTGGGGACAAAGGGTGGCACTAGGGGAACAGCAGTCCAAGAGGCACCCACTAGAGTGTGGAGTGCCTCAAGGGGCAGTGCTTTCCTCAATGTTATTTAACATCTTTATGCACCCCCTTGCCCAGATTGCCTGGAGGCATGGGCTGG